AGTCTTTAATTAAATTAACTGAAGCTTTAGAAGATGGGTTAACAATTGAGCTTAAGGCATAGGAATCCCATCAAATTGCCTTTCAAACATCTTTTTTCTTTGTTGATACGGACGAGGAGCATAAGGTTGTTGATACTGTGGTTGTTATGGTTGTTAGGGTGCTGTGAGGATGGACACAACAACCATTTCATAATACGGGGTATAAGATCGGCCCTTGCCTTTGTAAGAAGATACAACATTAGCTTCCCCTCCCTCTTCTCGGGGAATCCAATATAAGGTTTCTTTCCTCAACTAGAGGAACCAACATCAGTTTGAATCTTTCCCATCTTAATTCCACTCTAAACTTTCTCACTTGCCATCACCAAAATCACAAAAGCCAACATAAGTACTTCCCATTAATCTATCATAATAAGGACCCTGCAAGGTATTCATGAACATATCAACCAGATCTCTCTCCACCATTGGAGGTTGAAATCGTGCAACCAGTTCACGCCATCTCTGGGCGTACTTCTTAAATGTCTCATTGGAACCCTGGGAAAGACTCTGAAGCTGAGTCCTATTGGGAGCCATGTCAATATTATACTGATAATGCTTAACAAAAGCTTCAACCATCTCTCTCCAGTTGCGGATATAAGTTCTTTCTAGATACATATACCACTTCAACAACGCCTACTCAGGCTATCCTGGAAGAAGTGCATCAGCAGTTTTTCATCGTCAGAGTGTGCAGACATCTTTCTATAGTATGAACATATGTAGGTCTTAGGACAAGTGGTACCCTTGTATTTGTCAAAGTTTGAGACTTTAAACTTAGCAGGAATTCTCACACCTGGAACCAAGCCTAGGTCAACAACATCCACACAAAGAGTATTGTGGCTCTTTATACCCCTCATTCTCTCTTCCAGCATATGAAGCTTCTTCTTAGCCTCACAAGGAAAACCCATCATCATTATGCATAGAAAACAAGTCCTCATGAAAGTACCTTAAGTGATCAATTGATCCTTTAGAGGTAGATTTGAAATGATGAAAGTTCATCTAGTACCAATCCAAATTCAACTGAACAAAGATGAATTAATCATCATCCAATTAATCAAATGAAAAAGAAGAAGAAACGCATGGAGCAGGGATAACTTGAACAAAAAAGTAAATCCCAAATTGGATCAAAGCCATGGATCAAATTATCATCAACATTATTCATCCATTTTGGTGGATTGGGGCTTTCACCCCATCAACACCCAAGATCCAATGAGGTTGATAAAACTTATGATCAAGCAAGTTTAAATCCAAGGCCAACCAGTCAACAAAGTCAAACAAAAATTCAAATGAATTAAAACAATTAAAATGCATGTAAAATATATTTTTAAATGGAAATAAATGGAAAAATATCAAAGTCTAATCAAGACATCAAATAAAAATCAAGTGAGACCATAGAAAAACCAAAAATGGTCTATAATATTTGTATAAAATTTTGGTAATTTTAAAAGTCAAAAAACTATTTTTAAACTAATTAAAATCAAGCAAATAAGATAAAAATGATTAAAATAGAAAAAATTAAACTAAAAATATGAAGGAAAAAAATAATCACAAGGAGAAAAATCATAGAGAAAATTTAAAATAGTTTTGGTATTTTTTGGATTAAAAATGAAAGAGATATTAAGTTTTGAAGATAAAATGAATTTAAAACAAATTTTGTAAAATAAAATAAAACCAAAAAGATCTCAGGCGTTGGATCATCTTCACTTAAACTGCGTGTCAATCTAGAAGGCTCAAAAGTGAGGTCACACCATGGAATTTTGTAACAAAAATAACACTGGATCTGGAACTTACTCAACCAATAAAAACATTTCATTTGGCCTCATCTCATTGGCCAAGGTTTTTTGAAAAGACAAAACCACTGGAGATGAACTTCAGTCATCTTATCTGATCCACTCTCATCAGAGTTTGTACAAATGGAAACACGAGAACATGAGACCAGTGCCATTGGAATCGTCTTATTGAAGTGATCTTAGTCATGCCTTTAAACAAAATTTACTCAAACTGTATCAACAAAATTTTAGAAAATACGGTCTGATTTTTAAATTTTGAAAACCAAATGAAATGCTTAAAACAAAGTATAAATGAAAATGGAGGATACAGTGAGGATCAAAAGGGGAAGGACTACATCTTACCGTTTTAAATTTCTCAAAATGAAGCTCCAAACTACCTGGACAAAGTGTGTTGAAACTACTCTGAAACTTGACTTGGTCTGAGAGATTTAGTGCACTTCATGCTTTGATTCCAGTTGCATTAGCTTCAGTGTGTAGCAGTAAAAAGTTTAGATTAAGTCGTTGATTGACTTAACTCACAAAGTGATAGTCATCACCGCACTTTTTTTTCTAAAGGAAATGAGAAAAAAGAAAAGAAAACCCAAAGTAAAATAGAGATCAAGGTAAGGGGGTTAGTTATGCAAAGGGAAGGTGTTAACACCCTAAACATCTACGGTACTCCATAGGAACCTCTTTGAAAATCTGTGTATTTGGTTAAAAAAGAAGTATGTACACAATAGATTATGGAGATGAGGAAAGAAGTATTTTTTTACAATTTTTTATTTGATAAATCTTCCAATGAGCTCTAGACCTACATACCAACAATGTGCAATATTGAAACCAAAACCCATGTAGTTTAGGTAAAAAATACCAAAATGGTTTGTTATGATTGATTTTAATGTAAAAGACATTTTGTCTTATTTGAGTGGAAAACCAATACACTATGACAATCATGGTAGCAAGAGAACTTGCTTTAACTTAAATATGGAGAACTTATAACATGGACCAACTCAACAGTGCAAGTCTCATCATACAAGTGGAAATTTACTTCAATATTACCATATTTGTTAAAGTGGTGAGGTTTGCAAACACTCAAACAAAAGACTCATGTCTTAAACTTTTTAAAAAGGTTAAAAGAAAAAGTGCAATAAGGCACAAAAAGTTTGAATGAGGTTAATGACTTTTAGTATTTCAAAAAAGATGTCAAAGTATGATTAAATTGATTAAGACTTAATTAAGAAAAAGGTTTTGAAAATGCATTGACCTAAGTCCAAGTTTATTATGAAAGAAGTTCAAGTTTAAAAACAAGAAGAGTTTTGAAAAAGAGGGAGGAGATTTTGAAATTAAAGAATATATGAGGAGATGAAGGAAATATCTTATATACACAAAGTAAAAGTTAAGGTAAGGAAAGGTCTAACCAAATAAGAAGCCTAAACTTGACATAATGAAGTCAAAGTAGAATTCCCGTCCTTTGGATTAAATCCATAAGCATAGAATAGACTAAGAGAATAACAATCATCAATGTGAAAATAAATTACAAGCATGGAAGTATCGAAGAAACCCAAGGTATTAAAGCCCAAAATAAGGTCTTCAATATTGAGCCATGTGCCATATAGATCACTTAAGGCCAACATTACAACCCCTGCACGCATAAGATTTCCCAATACAAGTAAAATAACAATAAAGAAACACAAGATCCAAAGGTCTCAAGGTCTCAAAGTAACAAGGATTCTAATCTTAAGTCCAAGAGGTCCACGACTTCAATGTGTCATTAATAGTAACCAATAGTCCATAAAGAGACTTCAGTCTTTTAATGTTCAAGTTGATTATTAAGTGTCTTTAAAAGAAAAGGAAAGCTCAAGTGAGCAAAGATAAGAGAACACAAAGTAAATGCTCAAGTGAGCAAAAGGAAAATAACATGAGATGTAAATGCTAAAGATAAAAGTGCATAAAAGTCTAGACATAAAATAAATGCATAAAGTAAAGGCATAAAGTAAAGTTAATTGTTAATGAGTTAGAAGTTAATGGTTAATGGTCAAAGGCATGATCAATGATTATTGAATGATGATTTTCGACCAAAGATAATGAAACTCATTAGATGATTGATAAAATCAAAACCTCATAACAACAAGTTTCAAAGGAATTGCACCCAAGATAACCAATTAACCATACTTGGAAATTCAAACATAAATTTTGTGCCATAAATTATTATTTTAAGAAAAAGAAGAAGAAAGGGATGAAGGAGATGAATTCCATAATAAATGATCAATGATGATTAAAGATTGAACTTAGGTCAAAGTTGATGAAGACTTGTTAGAGGATTGATAAAATCAAAGCCTCCTAAAACAAGCTTCAAAGATATTGAATCAAAGTCCCATAATCAATCATACTTGGGCCTTCAAACATAGGTTAGGGCCACTAATGACCACTTAAAGAAAAGAAGAAGGAGATGAAGTAGAGATAGACAAGAAATAAATCTCACATTTGAACCAAAGGATTAATCAAGCTATCATTAAAGTCATTCATCTATTTTGGTGGAGTTTACCTTAACACCCAAGATCCAATGATGTTAATGAAACTTATGACTAAAATCTACATGATCTAAGATCAGCCAGAATATATACAAAAATAAAATTGCAATTAAAACAATTAAAAAAACAAATAAATAATGGTTAATTAATTGATGAAATACACAAAATATATCAAAATACCAAATAAAAACTCCAAAAAATTACCAGAGGTCAAATACAAGTCAAGAAGTATTGACAAAAATTTTCATAATTTTTGGAACCAAGAAAGTAATTTTAAAAATTCAGAAATTAAGTGAAATAAACCAAAAACTCAAAAAATAGAAAAATCAGAAATACAAAATCAAAAGAGGTCACCAATAGTTATCAAACTATCATTGGATCTTTCCATAATTTTTCCATAATTTTAAAAGTATTAAAAGTATTATTAAACCAATTAAAACCACTCAAATAAGTGAAAAAATAATTAAAAATAGCAAAACACGGAATTAAATTCCAGAAAAATTACACTAGGCCATAAATGAGATAAATAAATTTTGTATATTTTTTTCAGAATTTTTGGGCAAAAAATGAAATTAAAATGAAATTAAAATGATGTTTTAAAGATAAAAACAAATTAAAATAAAAATAGTAGAAAGAAATTAAAGCAGAAAAATCTGTAGCCATCAGATCAAGTCAACATGCCATTTTATGTAGGATCTACAATCCAGAAAGGGATTGCACTATAAAAAACATAGGCACACATGTGGAGAATCAAAATTACTCATCATCTTCTCAGATGTGGACAAGTGGAGGAGGGACCACTTATTCTTGTAACACCCCACTTTCCCATTCTAATAATTATAATAAAAATATACAGAATAATACATCAGAGTCCACAAATGGGATGTCACATCATTCAAATAAACTCATAAAGTCTCAAGTCACTTTATTACTTCACTTATTCATAGTAATCAACCAAGCAACGAAACAACTCAAATTAATTTACTTCATGGAGTTGAGGCCTCAACAATAATAAAAACTCCACAAAATGCGTGGTTCAACATAATCCTGAATTAAGATACGTAACAATTAAAACTAATTCAAAAACATGGCAAAACTCCCAAATCCCATGTTACGTATCAGAGCGACTCCTAAGACTCGATCCAGCAACACTCACTCCAAGCACTACTCGAGTACCTGGTTAATTATACTCTCCGAGGAGCACAGACACAATAACAAAAGAGGGGTGAGAATTATATTCAATAAATATACGGTGAACATCATAGGCTAAGGATTAGTATTTCACACAATCCACATAAATCACATAATACATTTTCACACAATACTTCAGAACACATTCTTCCTTCATATAAAACAATCATCAAATCAAGAGAGTGCAATGTAATATAATCGACAACAACTAAATGTATGTGGTACCATCAGGGCATGAGCCCTCAATATAATTCCAAATAGGGCAGTAACAGGGCATAAGCCCTCAACATAACGCCATTACAGGCCAACAATAGGGCATAATCCCTCACCAATGAATGCATGCATCATCAACATGCAACACCATAACTATGCAACTCCAAGGCATAAGCCCATTACATTTTCCAATAAGGACACCAACATTATTATCGCCATACAACATATAAATCCACACAAGGTTCCAAATTTTAACATAATATTCATTATTATTAACCTTCCTATATCTACTTAAGTCATACTATTCAATACGGATCAAGAGAAATTGCATTACGCGCGAAAACAGAAAAGAATTCGCAAAACTGGGAACTTTTGCACTTCAGCCTGTCCATACACATATGGCCATGTCCCATACACGTATGACTTCTTTCTCGCCATAGCCCATACGCGTATCACACGCATAGGGCCAAAATTCCCAAGTCTCATACGCGTATTGTACGCGTATCACCAGAAAGGGATTTTCCATTGAGACCTCCCTAAAGCTCCCCATACGCGTATAAAACTCTTCTCATATGCGTATCATACGCGTACGGCCAGAAGGCCATGTTGGCTTGGGGACATGGCACATACCAGACGTATACGACCCCTTAGAACGTGCCTCATATGTGTCCCGTACGTGTATTTCTAGTCTGCTATATGCCAAATCCTGCTATCGTACCAGTACATTTTTTACTCGTTTTGAAAACTTTCAACCTCCTAATTTGGGTCTAAAACAGTGTTTTTGTACATAACAACTTATGGGTTTCATCTAATTTCTTTGATCTATTATCCTATAATAATTTTCTACATCCAAACCCTCATTGTTCATCATCTTCCTAAACTTATATTTTCTAGATTTGGGATTTTTATAGAACATCACAACAACAACAATTAACAGCAACAGTCACAACATTGACATTATTCAATCCACAACTCCATATGGAATCACATATAAACAACTTTAATCAAATAAAAGAGGAATCATACATCAATTTTACACAAAACCTAAAGAGGGAAAAGAACCCTCACTACCCTCTCAAGTTATAATCACCATTTAGAGAACTCATTCTCCCTCCTCACCTTCGTTTGAAGCTTTGATCCTTCAACAATGGTGAAATAACTCTTGCCCTAGCTTTTCCCTTCTCTTCTCTTTCTCTGTTTCTACGTGACAGTGGTTTTTTCCCCAAATGTTCCTACTATTCTTCTAATAATTATTTTATTATACTTAACAAATAATAATGATAGTGAATAATTATAATAATAATAATAACAATATTATTACTAATAATAATATTATTAGTGGTACTATACCATATATCTAATAATATTTTTATTAATAATTATGGTATATTGCATCATTTATCAATATTATTATTATTACAGCATAGACTAAGTTTTATTCTAGTTTTCCAATTAAAACTAAATTCTCACATACCCTAAGTCATGCCTACCTACCGTTAATTATTTCAAAATAAATCAAAGTCAACAAATAACGACTAAATGTTCAAATGGAGCGTTAAAGTCCCCCTTGTACAGAGAGTGAGAGGGAAGACAAAAAATTTATGACATTTAAAAAACAACTTAAAAAGCTTCAATTTTTTTTGTTAAAACCAATCTCTCTCTTATTTTAAGACTCATATGTCATCATCATATTTCCTTCTTCATTTATAAAACAAACAAAAATAAAAAAAATTATGAAAAGAAAACATAAACAAGGGCGGACAGAGGAGTGCAGAAGGCGGAGAAGAGGACGATGCGCGGCGGCGGCCGGTGAGTCCATGCTGCCGCCGCCGCGCGAAGGGCCAGTTTTAAAAAAATTATGACAATCAAATTGGTTTCTCCTCCTCTACTCAAATCTATAATTAGTTTTTCAAGAAAAGCAGTTAAAAGGGATAGATCTATAGATGACGTTTCAGAAATTTTGTTCAAAACAACAACAACAATCACAAAATAATGAAGGATTCAGTGTTAGGGAAGGATTATCAACCTTTTGGAGTAGAAAGGGTGAAGAATAGATTAGAAAGGTCTCACATGGAGGTTTCTGTTTCCGGTGAGGTACGACTCAGGCGAGTTTGATTTTATTTTTTCACTGTGTATTATGATTATGAATTTGTGGTGTTGAAAAGAGTTTGAAAATATCCCCTCTGAATAAGTGAATCAATGCTTATATAGTGTAAAAACTAAGGCTTTGTGTGAACGAAAGGCTGAGATGAAACTGAAAAAAATGCCTGCCAATTTTCTCCTTGAAAGCCCACACGAATTTTCTATTTCCAGTCCAATAATCCCTTGTGTTTTTTTTTTGCAATTTTTTATGAAGTTTTTGATATTTGTTGGGCTGGATTTATTTTCTATTTTTGTAGTAAACATGGGCCTGAAATCGTATGAGCTTTTGATTTATTGAACTTGCGATGCTTGTTGTTCTTTTTGTTGGAACAGTTTTGAATGAATATGATGAAATTACTTTTGTTGTTGAAACTTATGAACCAAGGTCTGTTTTGAATTGATATGCTAATACACCTTCCATTTTTCTTGTGTTCATGTCTTGATGAATGATGTTGCTTGCAAAATAAATGTGTGTTAATGAATGATTTCTTCATGCTAGGAGAAAAGAGAAAAGACGAAGGATCATTGAAGAAGAAAGTGTGTTGTGGCAATTAGGAGAGGATGATGAAGGACTTGAAGAAACTTGTTATGGCATGGAGAAATTTGAATATTTTATCAAAGTTTATACATAAGCTTTAGGAGCTCATGTACTTTGTGAATCAAATTTAAACATGTTCTTTGTAGCTTTTTTCTTTCATGTAATTCTTTCACAAATAAAATGAATTGTATCTTGGATGCTTTGAATAAATTTGAATGAAGTTTTGAGAGAATTTTGAATGAATTTGAAAATGATGAATGAAAAGTGCTTGAAATCTTTGATGAATATCTTAATTTTCAAGAATCATGAATTCTCCAATTTTTCACTTTTAGTCTTGAAAATTGAACTTGAATGATCGAAAAATCTCTTTGAATCCTTCTTGATGAATTTTGATAAGGATATTGAATTCTTGAATTTGAAATAGATGTTGATCTAAAAAATTTCTTGAACAGTTAAAGAAATCAACTTTGATTCAAAGAATTCGTGAATTCTCAAACTAAAAATCTCATACCATAGCTCACTACTTTCCAATCAAATTATTGACCAAAGAAATTCCTCATAAAAAACCATTGCCTAAAAAAAACTTATGGTTTAAATTGAAATTAGAGGTAAAAAATGACTTATAATATTCCAATAGAATCCACAACTTTCTAAGCACAATTTGACTTTGACCCTTAAAGCAAATTTGTATATGACATCCTGAAGAGTATCGTGCAAAAAGAATCAACCCGAAATGATGAAAATCGAATGAGTTATGATCCTTGAAAATTGGACGAAAGTCACTTGAAACTAGGCCAAAGTCACAAAGCAACCTCTAATGTACTCAAACTTTTGATGACCTTCTACACATAATTAGATCTTGACTTGTAAAGAGAAGTTGGATAGGATGTCAAAAGAAAACATATGCAAAAAGAACCACTAAAAATATTGAATAATGAAGATATTATGATCGTTTGAACTCAAACTTGCAAATGTTGACTTTTGGTCAAACCAACTTTGAACCAACTTACAAACTTGATCGTTTCTTGCAATATAGAGTACCTTGATGCACCTATGAACTTGAGATGATAAAATCTTGATTAACCTAAGCTCACACTTGTATGAACTTAATATTACACGTCGAAGAAGACATGGAAATAAACACATGAACCTATCTTGAAGAGTCTTGAGAATTATGCAACCAAACTCGCATTAAACATGATGAATGAAGCTTGAGGATGGTGTGACCTAAGATTATAGATCACAACTTTAAAAAATAGGAACTTGAGAACCAGTCTTTGGTCTGAGAAACCCATAACCATAATTGGGGAATCATCACCAGAATTTCTTGATCGGAAGTCCTGTCTTCTAAAAGAAACAAAATAAACAAGACATATTTTTGGATTTTTGTTAGAGGTCAGTAAAATATAAAGTATATATGTACATGATACACAATTAGGGTGCTTGATGATCCATCAAGGACAAACTTAAAGATATGAGAGAGTAAAAGTGATAGCCAACCCAAATGTGTAATCTTGAAGCATTGTGATGATATGAGATGATGAGGGATCTTAGGGGCAAAAATTAGGGTATAACAGCTGCCTTATTTAAGTGTCTTCTATCCGGTGATATAAAGGTTAAAATATTCATATTGACGCGATTGAAGATACTTAAATACAAAAATAAACCATATTTTTGGCCTTAAGATACCATGCAATGCTTATGATTATGAATGTAAAAGATGAACTCCATAGAGGAAACAAGACACCACTGGGAATAAAAAACTAATGTAGACAAAGCTATGACACAAGGCAGACTAAGAAAGAGAGTTCAATTAGGAAAATAAATCACTGAGGAATGACACGACTCTGGGGATAACTATAAATGGAGAAACCTAATATTGCAGAAGCAAGCCAACAAGGAAGCAACCTTTAAGAAAGGATTACCGTCTCGACTGGGGAAAGAAAGTTAACTCCGTTGGAGAAAATTCAACTACACTGGGAAAAGAGAACTCAACTTTATTGGGGTAAATCCCAAAGAGGAGACAGAGGAAACAAGATGACATCATCTCAATAAATGAGAGTAATATTGACTCGGGGGTGACAATAGACTATAAACTCATGGTTGAAGTTAGAAAAGTAGAATTATACCGACTTACAAATGAGGGTAAGCTACCAACTCAAGGTTGAAGGTAGAAAATCAGAATAATACCAACTTTTACTGAAGGCAGAGAAACAAAAAATGCACCGACATTTACTGAAGGTGAACTATCAACTTCCACTGAAGGTAGAAATCAAAGGATACACCAACTTTTACTGAAGTTGAACTACCAACTTCCCTTGAAGGTAGAGACCTACATTAATAACAAGTTTTCCTAAAGTTTTGGCGTTCTAACTAAAACGGGTATGAACTTTCTTTTTTAATCAAGATATCACTTGAAAAGGGTAATAAACTTCACCTGAATTCTGGATTTCGCCAAGAATGGTAAAAATTTATTATTTAATCAAGATATCACTTGAAAAGGGTAATAAACTTCACATGACTTCTGGATTTAGCCAAGAACTGTAACAATTTTTTCTTTAATCAAGATATCACTTGAAAAGGGTAACAAACTTCACCTGACTTCTCGATTTAGCCAAGAACGGTAACAGTTTCTTCTTTGATCAAGATATCGCTCGGAAAGAGAAATAAACTTAACTTGACTTTTGGATTTCGCCAAGAACGGTAACAATTTCTTCTTTGATCAAGATATCACTTGAAAAGGGTGATAAACTTCACATGACTTCCGAATTTTGCCAAGAACAATAACATTTTATTCTTTGATTAAGATATCACTTGAAAGTGGTAACAAACTTCACCTGACTTCTGGGTTTCGCCAAGAACGGTAATAATTTCTTCTTTGATCAAGATATCACTTAAAAAGGGTAATAAACTTCACATGACTTCTAAATTTTGCCAAGAACATTAAAAATTTATTCTTTGATCAAGATATCACTTGAAAATAGTAATAAACTTCACCTGACTTCTGGATTTCGCCAAGAACGGTAACAATTTCTTCTTTGACCAAGATATCACTCAGAAAAGGTAATAAACTTCACCTGACTTCTGGATTTTGCAAAGAATGGTAATAGTTTCTTCTTTGATCAAGATATCACTTGAAAAGGGTAATAAATTTAACCTGACTTCTGGATTTCGCCAAGAACGGTAACAATTTTTTCTTTGATAAATATATCACTTGAAAAGGGTAATAAACTTCACCTGATTTCTAGATTTCTCCAAGAACAGTAACAATTTCTTCTTTGACCAAGATATCACTTGGAAAGAGTGATAAACTTTACCAACTTTTGGATTAACGGTAAAAGTTTCTTCTTTGACCAAGATATCACTTGGTAAAGGTGATAAACTTTACCAACTTCTGGATTTCTCCAAGAAGGGTAACGATTTCGTCTAATAAACTTCTCCACGCTTCTGGTCATAAGCCACGAACGGGTCTCATTTATTCTTTAACCAAGTCTTCCACCTGGAAAGGGTAATAACCCGTTGTAAGGATCTTCCAATGAACTGTCTCTATCACATTGAAGAGACCATCCATCCATCGAAGTAGATAATATTTCACAATGAACTGCCTCTATCATATCGAAGAGACCAACCATCCACTATAGTAAAACTGATATCTGGATGACATACAAGCTGCTCAAATAAAGAGACTTCCACCTGCTACCAAACAAATCATGTAGGGGACACACAATTTTCTTAAATAAAGAAGCTACTGCTTACTATCAATAAAAGATTCCAAGAGAGTGTAATAGAACATTGTTGGATAATAAAAATTCTCATCTTCAGATGGGGAAACTATAAACAGATTTCAGCTCTGGAGAATATATCCTCAAAGTTGCAAAATAAATGCACTCTCAAGTTAGGTTTCACAGCCTAGAGAGATCAAAACATATCGTTGCAAGGGATTACAATTCAAACTAGGAATAAACCAGAGTGAAACAATTAACCAAGACTCTACCCAATGAGGAACAAGCTCAAATGGGGATTAATTCCATCTAGGTAATGAGCTGGGGAGGAAGGTTGAAGCAAAATTTATTCCACGAGGAATAAGCTCAGTAGGGAAATTGAAAGGATATACACTTTCTACTTAAGGTTGACATTCTATTGGAGAGAGACAATATAAACTATGCAAAGAGGATAAGATATCCACATAACATTAATGAAGACAAATGAGCAATGAATTTTCATTCAGCTACGCATGATGTATGTTTAAATGAATGGACAGTGTTATGTATGTGCTGACAAAATAGATATGCAACACTGGGGATAACCAGACAAAACAAACTTGGTTATAGACGACACTAGGCTAAATCACATCTAAGATGGAAATCCCATAAAAGAGTAAGCAACCAACTGAGGGAACCACATCCTACTTCATGGCTTAACTTCTATGGAAAAGGAAATGTTGCTTGAAAATAAACAAAGCACAATCTTATAACAATAACCCACAAAGTTGCAATGATATAATGACGTCCTCTAAGCTTCACTGGTAGATAACATATGGATGGACTTCGCTAGGGAAGATGATACCACATCTGCTAGGAAGAAGACACAAGGATTCTCCAATTTCAAGAATAGTGATTGCACAAACTCCACTGGAAACGATCAAAGAAACTTAATGGGGATAACAATCTTAAAGGGAAACATCGTCCTTGAATTACAGGGGAAACTAAGAAGTTTAAACCACAAC